AAACTAAAACATTTTTGTATTGAATGCAGAAAGATATTTTTTTCACCCCTTTCATTGTATTACATGTCGAGAGGCTCACTGGCATGGGACTAGCCTCTGTTAGCCAAACTTTGGCCAGTGAAGAGGATTCAGAGAAAATAATACAACCAACCATCAATCTGAAAAAAGGAGGGGCAACAGAGGGCACTGATTATGCGCTGGCTTCAATGGTGCAGTCTTTTGCCAGGTGGCCTGCCTTTCCGCAGTTGTAGCAGTTAGTCTCGCTGGCTTTACTGCATTGCACAGCAACGTGACCAATCTCGCCACACCTAGGGGACACACAATTCAGTAGTTAGTTTCCTTCTTTGAAGTGGACATAAGAACTAAACCAGAAACACAATAAACCTACTTAAATGTTACAAAGAGAAGACAGGGATTTAAAATAATTTCATATAGAAGTTTAGACATTTTCATAAGGGGGCGTCTTTTCCGAACCAGGACTACAACTCACCTGTAACATTTCACCTTATCGCAAAGTTTCTGGATGTGGCCAAACCCACCGCAGGAGTAGCACTTCTGCTCATTGGCATGATCACAGTCACGGGCCATGTGGCCAGCTTTGCCGCAAGTGTAGCAGAGCTGCTCTCTCTCCTTCTTGGGCTCCTTGCAGTCCCGGGAAATGTGGCCGCTCCTGTGGCAGTTGTAGCAAGCTGGACAGGAAGAAAGTTTGTTAACTTAAAAAAAAAAAAAAAACAAAGTTTAAAAACATAATCGTTTTACACCAACTAACGAGAACTGAAATAGAAGAAATGGAACTGCAATGCACACCATCCTCAGTTTGGTCACAGTCCCTGGCCATGTGTCCTTGGTCTCCACAACGATAACAGAACAGCTCTGTAATGACACGGACATATTAGTATGCAAAGATAAGGAAGAGACAGTTTTAGTTCATGGACCTCCCCATGTGTTTCTCCTCAAATTAATGTGTCCCATTGGGAATGCTGTGCTACCACCCATTCATAACCCCAAAACTACAACTATAAGTGAATAACTTATCAAAAGTGCAGTGAAAAAAAAAATTGTCATGTGACCCAAGTGATTGTAATCATTATTTTATATTGGGTGTGGCCTGTAGTATATAGTACCCTTGCCTCGTCCCCGACCCCTTCCGCCACGGCCACGTGAACCGCTGGCACTGGGGCAATTCTTGATCCAATGCCCAGAGCGGCCACATCCAAAGCACTCGCTGTTGCCGCCCAACTCCATTATCTAAACAAAAACACAACACAAATTAATAAACACAATTCATATTTAAATTAAAAATAGTCTACATACACAATTGATATCGCACACCGTCTACACTGGCCGCATTAAGCTGCGTTTTGTGGGCTTGCATACCAAAGCAAGACAATTCTTTTCAAAAGGGGGAATGTGGCACCATCTTGATTTTCCACTAGGTTTTGTGCTGACTAATTTCAGCTGTGACACTCCAACAGGCCGGCCTCCATGAAACGCATGCAAGTGCATTCCAGCAGAAAGAATGCTGCATTTTTATTTTTATTAACATCCAATTTGTGCAACTCAGTTATACACCTGCACATTATAAATCACTTGTCACAGGCGTTTTATACGGAGCATATGGATGCTAGTTTAGAGCTTTGATTTCAGTTTATAAAAGTGGCCTCTTGAACAATTAAGCTGCTTAGTACGATGTTAAGACCTTAAAGCATCAACATAGCACATTAATCTTGTCACTGGTGGCCAAATCTGTTTAGACTACTTAAACACACTGACATAATGTGCTTTGGCTTTCACTTTCACTCCACTACTACACACATATTCTGCTATTGTCACATGTGGTATGAGAGCCCACGGTCTATAAAGCCTACATTTTTAACTGATGCAGCTGGTTACACTGGTGCAAAACGGTAAATAAACAGCTGTTGCTGATGCGTGATTTGTTTGCGGTGCAGCCAGTGTACACAAGGTGACATGAGTGCCATGTTAAAGAATTATCTGATCATGAACACAATAAAAAAAAATAAAAAATAAAATAAAGGTTGTCAAAGTCAATGCAAAATCTTTGAGATGTCAAAATATCTCATGTGCACCATTTTAAAGGAAATTTTGTGTGTCAGATTAGAATAAGTTTAACACAATTCTCCGTGTCCCGAATCAAATTACAGCACACAACTCACACACCAGTGCTGCAAGGGGCAGTTTAGCATAATGACTACCGGNNGACTACGGGGGGGGGGGGTCTAATCTACGAATCAGACAAAAAGGGGGGGGGTACATTTTCAGCTGCGGTGTCTATCATACTTTGGCCCATCAGACTACAACTACCTACTAAGCTAACTTACAGGATTTCGTCAATGGAAACATGCCGTGACGCCAAACTTCTGTTTGCTGACGGTGCTAAAGACATCAAGTCAGGAAGAATGTGAGTTAATGAGTAATCAGGCTACTCGCAATTAGTAGCTAAACGTCGACGTGGGCTACAAACCGAGACGGCTGGATTTAAAATCGCCCTTTGTACAGTGACTGCAAGAGGCTAACTTGTTGCTCCGGACTGTATGTAAGAGTCATCCAAACGCACGTCGGGCCTCGTTTTATTGCTTACATAATAGCGTTTCACTAAATAGTTAAAGAAATCCTGTTTCACCAGCAGCCACGTGAGAGCTCGTCTCCACCGGAGAACACACACACACACACACACACACAGGAGTTTTTACTTAATATTTTGTCGATAACTTGTTGGTCTAATTTAACGCCACCCCACACACACACACACTACTACAGGACGGCCATGAAAGCTGAAAGCATGCTGTTGGGCTTGTGTGCTAACTTGAAAAGCTAACTCCAGAGGGCAGTCACAGCAACATCGTGTTGTGATGGAACATCTGCTTAACCAGCAAAGCCCGACGTCTAACAAAAAGACTGAGACGCCTCTCGACTCGTTTCATTTTAAAACCATCTAGATCGTCGGTTGCACGTAAGTTACCCAGACAACGCGACGCCGGGCTGGGTTTTTTCGCGTTTGCAGGACAGAATCAAATGCCAAAGGTTGAGGCTACGCTAGCGTTGGCCTAGTCACGTTGATTTTTCTGCGCAATCGCGAGACACTAGGTGCTGCTCGCTGCTGCTAACACATGCTAGCAGAACCACCTCACGATCACGACCAAGACGCGCGGTTCAGTCGACGATCTTATCTCTTTTCTCCGGTGAGAAAGTGTGGATCCGACACTTATGGCGATAATGGTTGACCGTGGATCGTTTCCGACGGGTATTCGGGCGAATATGACATAAAAACAAAATTTCCCGCGCAGGGCGCACACGGCAAAGTCGTTGTGACGACGAGCTAACGTTAGCAGGCCCGACTGAGATCCCGATGCTCCATTAGTGCGGACCAGGCCGAAAACCAGTGCGTTTTTTACAAAAGAAAACCGAGCACGCGTTCAATTTTCCACTATAATCGGTCATAGTTTCAAAAGTTAAACATATACAATGTCTACAGATTAAATACATTTTCGTATTAGTGCTGTTTATTGCTTACCTTGCTGGCTACCTAGCTATGTCAGTGTTTACGCCTCCTTCTTTGCGCTACATGCGGTGTGAACAGGAGTTCCTGAATTGTCATTCACAGTATCCAGTAAAAAACCTGCACGGTCATTGGCCACAGCCTCTGCAGGCAGCCAATCAAACGCGAGGAAGTCTGGACACCGCCTCTATGAATCAGCCAATCGTGGATACAGAAGGGCCCTGTTTCCATAAATTGACTGGCCTTATTTTATCCACTTCATTTTTAAACATTAAAAACGTCTTAAAAATCCAAATATGAGTGAATCTACTATTAGCAGTATACCAATACTACAACTGGTACTACTTATGCCAGCTACTACAACTAAAAAAAGAGCATTAATGATAATAATTCATGCAAAAATTTAAAAAAAGGGGCTATATTAGAGCCACAAAATGGAAAGATAAAAAGCAGGAAACTTGAAATGGTTTTATGTAATAATTATTAATTGTGTACTAGCCCCAATTTATTCATGGTAAATTGCTTGAGACCTTTGCATATAAAAGTATAGGTTTCTGTGAGCCATTTCAAGAGCCATACTCACTCAGATACTGTGTGGAAAGGCTATACAGTGACCTCTCAAATCTTTTTATTAGCCCCTGTCAGCTAACTTTCCGGACACACCTACAGTTTTATTTGGGTAAATCAATGGCAGTACCTTACCAGACATGTCTCAGAAGTAGCTCTGTTTACAGAATTAGTGCAATAAACGGTCTGTTTGTCTGTATCTGGTTCTCAATAAATGTTACTACTGTTACTGGTTAAAATTAACTAAGAAGATGAAAATAATTCAATCAATTTGAAGTAAAAAGTGAATTTGTAGTGTGTGAGATGTGGCCTCTTTCTGAATCCTTGACTCTCAGCAATGAAGAAACATAACAATTATCAGAAACTAATTTCAACTAAAGGTTTAAAAACAATGATAATAAGAATAGCATTCAGATTATTATTTTATTTATTATAATTTTTTATTATATATTATATTTTTTACATCTTAAAACCACCTGAAATGAAAAGTTTACTCAGGTATTTGTGAATGACCATATACAACTTAACAAAGCAAGCCTGAAATCACAGAATCTGGAATTGAAATGAGTTTCCAGGCCTAAAACAAACTATGATCAAAACAGTCAAACAATGGTGAGCATGTGTTTCAGACTGATGATTTCATAAACATATGACTGTATCATCTAAATGCAGAACCTTGTTGTTTAACGGGTCCTGATTGCATCATGTTTTAAATAGAAGACAGCTGATAGAGACAACAATCCATGGGAGCTGCAAGCGTCTCAGCTCACTGGCCTGAGTGCTCAGTCAGATCAATAAGTGGAAAGATGCATTCATCTCAGTCTTAAGGTGGTTTGGTCGTAATGCTCTCAGATAGCAATTGTTATTTTCTGTGGTCTTCATTCTGTAGCTTACAACCTTTAATAAAAAGCAGAGGGAAATATCACAACTTGTGGTGCGTGATTTTGAATTGATTAAGAGGTGTCTCACCGTAATATCCCACGCTGAGTGAAATGCAGTGGTACTGTTGCATGTGGTGTGGAGTACCTTAAAACGCTCCACAATGACAAAGCCCTGCCCTCATCTTCACAGAAACAGTATTTGGCATTTCTGGTATTTCTTAGATGAGAAATCTGTTAGAAAATGCTGTTTTCAGAAAAGTAGACTAAACTGTAAAGTCAGATGAGTAGAATTAAATTACAAATGGCTGCAAAACAGGAACATATAACGTGGGTTTGTGACTTCGATGTCTAGCTAAAGAAATTCTGCTGCTTTATGGAAACAATGTATGCTGAGCCCATCAAGACATGTTGACCGGTATGTTGATGAAGCTGTTTTATTCTCAGATGGTGTCAACTCGAGCTTGCTGAAAGGACCTAGCTGTGATTAGGGTACCTCAGGGGACCCAGACCAGGATGCCACGGAGATGGTGAACACATGGTGAGTCTAGAAGGTTTCCCAAATGTATGGTTTCAGAGCTAGTTTGGAAAAGAATAAGCTGTAGCTCTTTGCTAACAAAAGCTAAAGTTTAAGCCTGTTTTGATGTCTGTATCCATATAGAAAGATACATTTCTGCCAGTTAAGAAGATCTTCACCTTTAATTCGAGGTGGAACCTTTTTTTTTCCAGACTGTAGCCTACATGCCATAGCATCCTACAAGCTGACTCTTGTGTGTCTTTTTTATGCCAGATATGCAAAATATAACATGACTGTCATGAATGAATGAATCAGGAAGGCTCCACAATAATTTCCAAGGATACAATGTTGCACTGTCTTCACATCTCCAGATGATGGTGCACTTGTAGTTAATAATGGATCCCTCCTTTACTCCAAACCGGCAGTGGGCCCCTTTTTTTTTTTTTTTTCTTCTGCTTTTCAAAAGATACGGTTGCAACTCATATTTTAACGAATGTGCAGTTAAAAAAAAAACTACATTAATGTTTCACACGTATTAGCCTTTGTGATTTTAAATGAACCTTTACCGGTACATGAGCTCAACGGCGACGCATGCTACAGAATAGGACTTTAAATATAGTATGTATGTAAAATATGGCCACACATAAACAACCCATTATATCTATAAATATAAGCTTGATCTTTTGTACCAAAAAAAAAAAAAAAAAGGTTTCACCAAAGTGGGAGGGCTTAAATTTGTGCTGTAGTTGCGCAGTGTGAGTGATGCTTGCAACTCTTGTTATGACTGCAAGGTCCTGTTTCAATCACTGGCGTCAGACGGACGCACGACACCAACTCAAACCTTTTCACCTTCTCCCGAACAACGTAAATATTGATTGAAAAGCGAGGCATTACCGAGCAACTTTCACGGGTGTTTTAATTTGAAAGTGCTTCACGGGACTTAAACGAATATCCCTTCGTCGTGTCACTTTGAGGGTCCGACGGATTTTTTTCGCTCGCATTTACCACGACTGGGAGATAAAACTTTTCCTCTATTATATTAGGTGGCTCGTAAAAGAGACCCGCCTATGACCTTCACGTCTCACACTATCGCTACATTTACCGGAAGATTATTTGATACAATTTCAGGGTTCTTTGGCGACTTTGACTTTTTTTTTCCCTTTTTTCTTTGAATGCGTTGCAAATATGATGATGTCACCGACGCCACTTTTTCCTGAAGTTATGGCGGAGCACAACTTTTCTAACTTCTCTTGGTAAGCATATGCAGGCTACTGGCTCCTAGCATTGCTACGATTTGAATTATGTTTGAAATGCTAACTAGAAGTGTTTAACTGCTTCTCCTTGGGGCACATGACCAAGACATGCATTGTTTGGACTAGTGAAATTTGAATGGAGGGCGAATAGAGCGGTGCAGTGAAGTTTAACGATAAAGTTCGCCTCTGAGGGCCTACAGACAATTCAGTCACAGTAAAAACTGGATCTACCAGGCCTTATGAAAACACACGTAGCTACTTATAGCTTCTGTAGTTGTGCAAATAGTGCACTCATTTCAGTAGCAGGCGTATTTTACTACTCTGTTTTAGTACGGAGTTGGATTGAATTGAAACCCCATTGAAGGCTCAAAAGTGTGTTTAAAACTCTACCTTAACTATCACAAAACATGCTAACCAGCTGACATTGAGTCTCACCTACATTTATACCTTCTTTTGTTTTTTAAAAGCGTTCAGTCAAAGCAGAAACTCTTGCCGTGGGTTTGTAACGCCGAGTTGTGTTATGTCGACCGACCCTTTTATGTAGAACAGATCCCAGCAGACGGGAGTAAAGTCTAATTATTCTGGACTTCACATTCTTTCTGTTGATACCCTTTTCTGGGTGGATAACAGCACTTGTTTTGAACACAATTCCTGCAGCATGGTGGGAAGGGTGGGAGAGCCACAATTGTCCCAGGTTCCTACTTTTCTGTGCTGCTGACATACCAGTATGTCTGCTGTGACAGCTAACCACTAACTGCAGTAAATCATCTCTTCACTGTTAACAGGTCTTTGTATAAGACACCCCAGTGGTAATTTAGGAGTTTCGCTGGCTGAAAGTGTACACAGTGAAAATGAATACCAAGAATCAGTGAAACTTCTGTATGTGTGTGTGTATAAATATAAATATATATATCCCCAGAGTTTGTATTGAAAACTAAGCGGAAGAGGGAGCGTATTTGTTTGTGATGAGTAGGTCCAACTTGAGTTGTAACAAGTTCTTATTTTTATTTTACAGGCTCTGCCTAATTGCGAAATGACTAATTTCTTATTTTATTTTCAGGAAGTACATACGTTTTATATTTAGATAACCAGTATTCCTTTCTTCTATTTCTTTATTTGATTACTCCCTGTATGTAAGTATTGTGATCCCTTTACTGTTACGAGCTGTTGGAGTTTTAGTTGTTTAGTCTGACCATGCAGAAGGAAGAGTCTGTTGAAAGCATATACTGTAAATAACACGACTGACCTCTGTGGTGGCCTGAGATTCTCCTGGTCTGAGTGGATTAGTTTGTCTACATTGCTCTGCTGTTGCCTCTCAAATGAAAAGGGAGAGGACAATTGCAGCCACACACAAAAAAATCGCCTGTGGTATTCTTAAAACTGCTCCTGTAGCGTAGGGTTGAGCTCGCAGTTGAATAACATAGGGCCACTAAACAGGTCACAGTGTACATGTTCTCTTTACTTTTCCTGTCACACTTCTGAAAGGCTTGCTGCTAACACACTGACTGGCCCTAATCACGCCATCATTCAAGAGGTTTGGTTGCAGTTGGTGCGATTATGCTTAGTGTTTACGTCTAACAGTTTCTCAATGGCATAACCCCAATCTGTTGTTATTTTGCTACTTTCTTCCGTGGCTGTTTCATTTCACTGTTGGAGTTCATTGTGACTGACGTGCATTCAAGCCAACCGCAGCTGCCCTTTTTCAGCGGAAAGGAAAAAAAAAACTGTATTCCAAAATATACATTTCTACAAAGATAGATTTTAGGTAGAGAGTATTAATTTAAACAGTTTTAAACCTTAAAGCTTGGAGGATGACTGGACTCATTTACATTCTGTTACACTATGAGTCTGCATACCACCAATATCCTCACAGAGAGGAAAGAGAACAAATGTGATATTGATTAAGTGATAATGTTGATGTGAGCTTTTTAAGTATTTGGACTACTAATAC